ATACCACTTTCTCCTTCTCTAATGCTGTTTCCCCACATTCATCCAATGCGGTGTATGTCTGACGCTGCTGCTCTAGTCTAACAGACTCTATTCGCAATGCTTCTAATTGTTGCCTCAAGGCATTTTCGCGTGTGATGCCTTGGAGACGCATTTCGTGCATCTCGTGCCGCACAGCTGTTTTTAGGCGTGTGAGTCGCTCAATCTCACGCAACATTGCATCTCGACACCGCTGCTCTTGTATACTCAGTAGCAACGGTTCCGGTTGTTGTTGTTATTTTTGTGCAAATGCACTTCTTCCACACAGTGATCATTGGTGTGTTTTGGTGCTGCTTGTGTATTTGTTATTGTTTATGGTGTTGTGGATAACATTCCCGATGCTGCGTTGATCGTTATGGACGATGTTCCTTAAGCTGTACGGTGTACCTCTCACTCTGCTGCTGTGATGAGATCCTACTGGCATGGACAAGTACACTCTGAAGCCCCATACAGGCTTATAATGATGAGCACTCCTGCTGCTGCCTAAACGTAGTGGAGGATGAAGAAGTGTATGGGCTGGTGCTAGAAGCAGGCAAAATGAGAGAAGTATATGAGTGCACAGAGAGAGAGAGAGAGAGAATACTGAAACCTCTTCCACTACTATTGGGGTGGGTGTTGGCAGGACTCATTCAAGTGAGGGAGAACCCAATGGCGGGATCCATTGGGATGAACTCTTCTTCTTTCCATACTTGAAGGAAACCAATTAATATGGATTCAGAAACTACTTTCATCAGCCACACCAGTACAACGGATTAGGCAGCAGTCTTCTGTCAGCACACTGAAAGATATCTCAACAATAGAATGGTGATACGGAGAAAGAAATGGATGTTACTAAACCAGTAGAGGGTAATTCAAGAAAGGAACACTGCAAATACACCCAATAAAGAGAAAACAACACCAGGAATTACACACATCACAAAGGAACATACGGAACTATCCGGACTACAGTCCACTACCATCCACACAGTTAACACTAGAATCAGAAAGAGACTCAAGACTCACTGAAGAAGTACAAACATCAGCACAAGGTTCACATTACGCTGCAGAAGCAACAAAAACACACACACGGAACAGGTTCACTGATAGGAGTAGTAGATCTTGGCGCATCTTCATCGCAGTCATACAAAGTGGACATTGCCTAAATAAACCAGACTACACCATTAAAAATAAGAGCATACAGAGAAAAACACAAAACAAGAACAAAATAAACATACAAACACAAACATAAACAAAACAAATCAACCTCCAACAGATAAACATAAAACAAAAAAGAAAAAATAACCTAGAGTGTGCAATTAAAGTAAAAAAAAAGTAACACAATACCCAGTATTAAACAGAAAACCCCAATTAACTCTGAGAGAAAAATATATAATAAATTAAGAAATGCGACCAACAAGATTAGAAAACACAGAAATATATAGCTCTTGATTGGGTGGTCAGCATATAGCAAATTATAAATTTATGTAACAGTTATTATATATTTTCACTCTGCAGAAAGCAGACCATAAAAACGGTACAGAGCAAAGCACAAAACGACAAAGCAAAAAACAAGTAAATAAAGAGAATTAAATATTTGTGCCCAATTTACCCAGTAAACACAGAAATATACACCAACTATGGATGTAAGTCTATATATGTGTGTATATACGCAATTATAAATATATATTCATCTGTTATTATTATGAACTTCTTTTCACCTCAAAAAAGCAGCTCATAATAATTATCACAATGCAAGCCCAGGCACACACAGAAAGAGAGTCTCCAAGAACACACACACACAATGGAGTAGCAATAATAATAATTATAGGATAAACACAGAGAGAGCAAAAACACACAAAACACACAATATCATTAAGAAACAAAAAAAGAAGAAGATAATCCCAACAGGTGGAAGATTAGTTAGACTGTAGGGATACATGCAAGAAAAAAAGAAAAGAAAACAAAGGATGACCTGAGTCACACCACCACACCACCATTACAATCAGCACACAAGAATACAGGCCAGTGCTACCACAATCAGTAGTGGTACACGCATCCACACAGAACTGCTGATATTGCTGCTGCTGCTGTCTGCATCACCCTTCACATTTGGCATTATGGTGTTATTGCTGATTCCAGTGATAGTAAGAATTGTATTTGTAGTGGTGGTGGTTGTGGTGGGTAAGGTTGAGTCTTCGTTACTGGTGGTATTGAGAGTAACAGAGATCGTGGTTGCTGTGGTATTCCCTTCTGCTGATGCACCCACAGTATCGACACCATTTGTTGATTTATTCTCTGCCGTCGTCACATTATCAGTGGTACTGTTGGGCTCTGTGCCCGTGTTATTTGGTGTGTTTGAATCACCAGAAGGTAGACCAGATTGAGTTGTTTCACTAGGTGATGCATCTGTAGTAGGATGTGGTTTTGAGTCAGCAGTAACGTGGGATTCTGTACTTGTTGTACCTGTGGCATTTGTTTCTGTATTGTGGTCATCTTGTTGAGTACCGTGTGTGGTTTCCTTTATCGGTTCCTGATTACCCTTAGTTCCAATAAGGCCTGACTCAGTGGGTAACGTCTGGTTCTGAGTATTCTCTGCTTGCTTTGTCACCTCACTACGCTGGTTGATACTTACATCTTGTACAGGAGAAGGATGAGATACAGCAGGTTCTGGTTGACTGTCATTCCCACGACCTTGACCTTTTGATCTGTCACCCGACTCGCCTTTTAACTCCTTTTGCTTATTTTCTTCCAACTCCTTCTCACCCTGCGCAAGACCACTATCACGTTTAGTATTATCCGGGGATTCTTCAGGATGTTTCCCAAGCTTATTAGCTTCAGAAGACACATCATGTTGGCCAACACCATGACCACCCTGGGCCTTTATACCACTTTGACGACTAGATGGAAGACCATCACGTGTAGTTGAAAGAGATGTACCAGAAGAAGCCGCAGAACCTAATTGTGCCGGTGCAAGAGGTTTAGCAGTAGTAGGAAGAGGAGGTTTAATGGGAGATGTAGGTGAAGGTACAGCATGGTGAGAACCAGGAATACCAACAGAACAAGTATTTGTACCTGCAGCACTGCCAGGGATAGCACCAGGCGCACCAGGAGAACCACAAGGACCGTGTGGAACTGCAGGGTCCGTATAAGGACTTTGTTGAACACCCTTAGGAACACCAACAGGAGGATTAACAGGAGGTCTGCCAGGAACAGCAGGTCCAGGAATACCAGCAGGTTGGAGCCCTACATTATTATTAGGATGAACACCACCACCAGACATACCAGCAACACCACCACCAGTCATAAAAGAATACGGGTTTGGTACATTAGCCAACACGCATCCACATACGCAGTACAGGATGAAAGGCAGTAGGCACAACACGTGGCCCATCATCTTCTTCATAGCCAATAATAGTGGTTGTTGGGTTTTGCTTTAAAATACTCAACCACAAAGAAAAACAAATATGAGAGATTAACAAAATGCTCGTAAACCCGAAAAAGAGAAGGGTGTACAAGAAGTGAAGCACACAAAAGAAGCTCAACATCGTAGAAACCAAAATCAAAATCAGAAACAAAGCAATACAGTTAATTAAATCAGTAAAGTTAGAAAAAAAAAAGAACATCCATATCATCACAGACTCCCGCAGTACATCATAGAATGCCCCAACAAATCATAAGCAAACAAAGAAGATCCTCACCATTAGCCCAATATACCCAGTACGCAGAAATACACACCAACTATGGGTGTAAGTCTATATGTGTATACAAGCAATTATATATATAAATTCATATGTTATTATTATTTCCTTTTCACTACAAAAAGCAGTTCATCATCATCACAGTGCAAGCCCAGGTGCACACACACACAGAGAGTCTCCAAAAACACACACACACTGGAGTAGCAATAATAATAATTATTATAGGATAAACACATAGATAGCAAAAACACACAAAACACATTAACATTAAGAAAGAAAAAAAAGAAGAAAAAGAAATCCCAACAGGTGGAACATTAGTTAGACTGTAGGGATGTATGCAAAAGAAGAAAAGAAAACAAAGGATGACCTGAGTCACACCACCACACCATCATTACAATCAGCACACAAGAATACAGGCCAGTGTAACCACAATCAGTAGTGGCACACGCACCCACACAGAACTGCTGATACTGCTGCTGCTGTCTGCATCACCCTTCTTGTTGTTT